GTGGCGCCCAAGTGCGCGGCCCTCTCGATTTGCAGGCCCACCCTCCCGGACAATCCGAACGTTTCCTTCGGACGATGTTCACGCCCAGGCCCCCAACCAACCTTTTCACTCGCCAGGTGTTCCTTCGTCCTGCGCCGCCTCCCGTCGCACGAATCTTTACCTCGCAGGGCCCTCCAGCTTCTTGCTGTTGCACCCCCCCTCCCCGGCCCCTCCCAGGCGCTGAGCCAGCGCGCCGCAGTCGGCATGTCCCCGAAGGCGCCAGCGAAGAAGCCCAACAGCGCGCCGATCGAGGTCTTCGTCTGGCTCTACACCAAGTGCGGGTCGGACGTGTTTCCCGGGTTCCCGCAGACGGATCTCTTCGGCTTGCGTCTGCGGCACGAGGCTTTCCCCGCGGTGGATTCGGACATCCTCGCTTCCTTCAAAATGTTCCTGGGCGAAAAGAATGCGGAGAACGACGATTACCCGGCCGACCTGAAGGAGCTGAAGGACTACGAGCGCACCATCATCTCCCTGACCCAGACGCCCAAGGACGTCGAGGGCCGCCGCGTCCAGACCAACATGCCGCTCAAGGACGCCGCCGCCCGCAAACCTCACCCTTTCGCCTCCTGACTCGCGTTGTCCTGAATATTCGGGGACAACCGATACCAGCACGAATAGGCCATCATATGTAAAGTCCCCGGCTTCCACAGGACTCCGGAATGACAAGTCCGCCCGAGGCCGTCAGCTGGTCGACGGCCATCGGTGTCTTTGTCCCCACACCTCGCCTTATAGCGACCCTCGGAGGAACGCAACCGACCCGCCTCAATAACGCAACCCAATCCCCCCCCCTCCGTCTTGCTATCCTGTCAGGAGTGGAGCGTCATGTTCTGGACCGACGAGCCCTTCCACTGCATGCGTCTCATCGCGGACTTCTCGTGGTGGAGGGCCCAGCACCGCCGCCCCGCGGACAAGAGCCCCTGGCCGGACCTGAGCACTCTCAAGATGGTGGTGAACCCATTCGTCAACGTGTCAATGGACGGCTTCAACACGGACAACATCACCATGCCCATGACGGTGAACGAACCGAGCACCACCTTGCAGTGCTCCATATTCGAGAGCTCCCCACCTGGTTCCTCTAAAATGGTTGAGGTCCGTGTCCAGGTGATCGACCAGAAGACCGTCTTCTTCGCTTGGGAGGGCCGCACCTTCCCCTACCGCGAGCGCTTCGACTTGAAGCGCATTGGCCGGGAGGACAACGTTCGCATATTGCCCCAGGCCCGCACGGACGTGAGCATTGCCGACAACGCAGCCTTCATTCGCGACGTTTTCAAGCAGGGCGTTCTCCGCGATCTGTTGGTGCACCTCGTGCTGGAGGAGAGCTCGGTTCCCGCCGACGGGCCCGTCAAGGAACTGCTGGACGAGTTTCGCGGAAACCCGCAGATTTATTTCAACGCCTTCTAAAATGTGACGGCCGCGCGAACCTCGCGCGCTCTTTTTTGGTCAGCCCGATGCCCGAGCGCTCGGAGGCCCCTGCTTGCAAGGGGGCACCTCTGCGACTCGCGCGCCGGCACCCCGCCTTAGGTTCAATGCTATTCTTTGTTCGCTGCCTTCTCCGCAACGTCCTCATCGGCATTTCAGCGCGGCCGTGCTTTGCGCGAGGCGTGGCTGGCGCCAGGCACCCTGGCGCGCATCCATTACCTCGCCCATCGCAATCGGCGCTCTCACCGTTCTGCGTGCGGAAGTACGTGCAGAGCGAGTCCACGGCCGCTTGATTGTTGCCCAGCCTTAGCGCGCCAGCTGAGCACCCAGGACTTCTGAAGCCAGCGACGTGTTTTTGTTTCAGCGCACCAGCCTCGTGGCAACGCACCGTTGAAAACACATACTGTCGGCCCCCGCGCACACCTAGAAAAGCTAGCGTTCTTCCCGTGTGTCCTCGGTACTCGGCCCAAAAGCCTTAGGAAATTACACATTTTGTGATTGGCCTTCAGCCGGGTCGGGGCGTCCAACCGCATCCTCGCACTGGTCCCCACCACTGACGAACACGGAGCGCGGGAAGCTTCGGATACATATCCCACTGGCACGTACACGAAGAACGTCGTCTGGCCAGAAGCGCTCCTGAGCCACCCCCGCCCAGCGCCATCGCCTGCCCACCCCGCCGCGCGCGCAGATACAGAGATGCCGCTCGCGGGCGCCGCTTCCAGCAGTGACGACGCACCGGCGTTCCTGGACGAGGGCTCCGAGGCGCCGCCGAGCCCCGCTGCTCGGCCGCGACGCTTCGCGCGGGACCACGGGCCAGACGACATCGATGAGTTCGGGCCGGCGCCCCCAGACGATGCTTCTGCTAACGTCGTCCTCGCACCGCTGCGCCAGCGCGGAGCAGTCGTGGACGCCCCAGCGCCTCCTGAGACGCTGTTCCAAACATGCGCAGCCACAGAGAACGACAATCCCAGTGCAGATTCCGCCGACCCCATGCCCTCAACACAGCTACGATGCGAGGCCGCCAGCTCATCGAAGCAGAGGGAGCGATTCACCGGATTCTTCGAGCGGCAGCGCGGCGCCCATTGCGGCATGCACGCGCTCAACAACGCCCTGGGCTTCGCGCTGCTCGACGAGGGGACCATGGAGGCATCCGCCCATGCATTCATCGAGCATGCCGCTTTAGACGGCCTCCCACAGCGCCTGCGCGACCACATGAGCCCCTCTGGAGATTATTCCGAGGCGGTGCTGGCGTTTGTGCTTCAACGATGCGGAAACAGTTTCTCCTTGAACCTCAATGCTCCCGTTCTACCACAGGACGCGATGAACATTTTTGCGCCTAACGTGGTCGGGGTCGTGGTAAACCAGAACAACGCACATAGGATTGCGGTGAAGGCTGTGTCCGGCCGAATCTGGAAGTTGGACAGCGCACCAGGTGATGGACGTAGTGTTGCGGAGCCTGTACTCTGTGAGCTTAGCGACTTCCAGAAGCTCCTGCGCAGACATCCCACCGCGTACCCACTGCTCGACATCCGGCCGCGCACGTAGAGCCTGAACGACGTTGACAAATCGCATGTCCTGAAAACACTGGCCTTCGGCGCACCCCGCCAACGTGCCTTGGCGGTGGGGCACTTTCTCCCACATGCTTTTCGGGGTTTCTTCTGACTTTTGGAGCTCTCCGGAGATCATTTCCGAGTTCTCTTGGAACATTTCGAGTGCGTTCTACCAGGGCGGGCGATCTTTGGGCCCGCCACGACTTTCCCTAGAGCCCCGCGACATTCCCACATGGACCGCCGCTCGCTTTGAAAGCTTCCACATGGGCCCGTCCATGACGTCGCCGCACATACCTCCGAAACCCAACGTTTTCCCCGTGTGTCCTTTCAAATCGGCCCAAACACATTAGGAAAATGCGCATTTCGCTGCTGGCGCCGTGCCGACCGCATCGTCCAAAGCACTTTGCAAATACGACAGGTTATGGCAATTCTCGAAAACACCATGCGTTTCAGGCGATTGCAAGGGACACACGGGACAGCGCATCGTGAATCCAACGTTTTTCTCCACCCGACAGGTTGGGGTCGTTAGATTTCTCAGAACAGACCTCCCGGCCACACCCCCACCCTGCATACCGCGGCCGCCAGACCCCGAGTTGTCCCAGTGCCCCCTGGGGCTCCCGCCCCATCCCGCCTCGCGCCCTCGACGAACACGACAGAATACAACATGACAGCGCAGAACATGACGAACACGACAGAGCACAACATCACAGAACAGAACAGAGCATGACAGAACATGACAGAACAGCACATACCAGAACAGAGCATGACAGAAAACATCCGCCTTCTTCCCCACCCGACAGGTTGGGGTCGTTAGATTTCTCAGAACAGACCCCCCGGCCACACCCCCACATTGCATACCGCGGCCGCCAGACCCCAAGTTGTCCCAGTGCTCCCTGGGACCGGCCACGCTGTCGGGCCACCAGGACCGGCTGCACGACGCCGCCTTCTCGCCCGACGAGCAGCAGGTGATCACATACTCCGCGGGAGGAAGAGCAGGAAAAAGAGGATGGTGGGGATCGCTCGAAGCACATAATTTTTTTCGGGCCGCAGCTTCCCTGGGACTCTCTCCATCGATCCCTCTTGGGGCCTCTGCGTCACGTCTTCTGGCAATGTTTGCCTGTCATGAGGCCATCGTGGGCCGTCTTGCGGGCCTTGGGCGGTCTTGGACCAATATTGGAGCGGTCCTGGCCGTCTTAGAGCGATGGGACCCAAAAAGCTCGAACCCCAAATAGCTGTACCAACGTATGGACAAGCTCTTACTCTTGCCTCGTGAGGCCCACTTGGGAAGTCTCTTGGAGGCCTCTTGGGTCATCTTGGAAGCCTCTAGAGCTGTCTGGGGGCCATCTTCAGAGTCTTGAGGCGCTCTTTGACCGTCTTCGGCGCTTGGTGAGGAGCCCCGCGAAAGTCCCCGGCACGTCTGGGGACGTGCAGCCGTCCCAGAGACTATGCGAGACACGCCGAACCGCGCAGGAACGCCCGATAACGTCGGGGACATTGGTGGTTGAACCACTGGCGCCATCTCCTTTGCCGCCGCATCGTCCGACATGCCGTTCCTCTCTCCATTCCTTCGCCGTCATCCCCGATCTGACCCTTCCCGTCCCCTCTGCGCCCTCTTCGCCTCCGCCGGTGACGTCCTCACCTGCTCGGAGAGCCGCTGTTGAAGACATGGACTGACGGCCGAAAAAACACTGCACCTTTTTTGGTGGATTTTTTTCACCCGTTTTTGTTTTCCGCAGACTTCGGCCTCTCGGGGCTTTTTCCGGGCCCAGGGCCCCTGAGGCACAGACCCGGGGCGGACAATTGCGCCGGATGGACACAGGGAGGGGTCCTGGGACGCATTTAGAGATGAGTTGCATTGCTTTTCCACGGGGTGTGGCACGAACGCCCTCCATCCACGGATATGGGCAACCTCGAGGGTCCAGTTTCTCCAGCATCTCTTCACGAAGTCGCAGCTCTGCCACTATCCATACAAACACGCGCCCTTCTTTCTCCCAGGGCCCCAACCCACAGGGTTTCCGAGCTTCGTCCGGACGTGGACACAAGGAGTGACCGTACTGGCCAAAACCCTTCAGCCCTCAAGCCACGAGGACGAATTTCAGACCCGTTGTGATTGTTCCACGATCCGACCCAGAGCGTGGCCTGCGGCACGAGAGCGCCGCAGTCAAGCGCCCCTAATCCCGTTATCTGCTCTCCTCCCGCCTCCACCTCCATCCCTGCCATCCCACCCCCCAAGGAGCTTTACGGACCAGATCTTCGAGGAGCTGTTCGGCTCCGATGCTATGTTCTGCTACGCATTCGCCGGCTCACACACACGGCGTGCGCGTCTCAGGTTCAGCACACCGTGGATTTAATCCACGGGTGCACACTAGTCAGCTATAACGCTGGGATCAGCGCGTGCGAGAAAGGCGAGCAGTGGCAGCGGGCTCTTTCGCTGCTCAGCAACGTGTGGGAGGTGCAGTTGGAACCTGACGACGTCAGCTACAGCGCTGGGATCAGCGCGTGTGGAAAGGGCAAGCAGTGGCAGCGCGCTCTATCGCTGCTCTGTGAGATGCGCGAGGCAAAGGGGGAGGCCAGCATCATCAGCTACGCCGCTGGGATCAGCGCCTGCGAGAAAGGCGGCCAGTGGCAGCGCGCACTGTCGCTGCTCAGCGAGTTGCGGAAAGTAAGGCTGGAGCCCACCGGCATTTTTCTTACACTGCAGTGCGTGCGAGAAGGACGCCAGATGGGTCAACATCGGCCTGGTGGGCCCTGGCGTGCTTCCGGGGCACCGTTCAGGGGGATTACTACTGGGCTCAGGGGGGGATGCATCGACCTCGAATCGCCCAGTGATCGCCGATAGTTACCTGAATCTCATTCCACCCAGGAACGTGCGGATTTGCTATCGAGTGCCTATCGCAGATCAATTGGCAATGCATCGCCGATTCAAAATCGTTATTTCCCCCCTCGGCCACTCCCCGCGTATCGCTGACCCTCAGCTCAGTGGCGCCCCCCGACGACCCCACGCGGCCTTCGGCAGGCGCCCACGACGGCCAGACGGCGCCTCCTCCGCCACAAAGGCCCCATGAACACACCCAGACGGCCCAAGACGCTCCAAAACGGTGCCAAGCTGGCCACCGCAGGGCTTGAAGCTCCGCGCAAAGCCCCGCACGGGCGAAAGCCGCACTGTATCTTAAAGTGTTTCACGTTTCGAGCGCGCTCCACCTGTACACACGTCCCATGGCAGACTGCACGCGGCTTGTGCATTCTGCGACCTTTTGTGAACCCTACCTCTGTGGGTCCAGTCGACGCCGGGGTGTCGGCCACCCCAGCTGGGGCCCACCTGGCCGCAGACATCCATCCCATTCTGAACCCAGGCCTGCTTCTCAGAAATCTGGCATGCAGGGACGATCAGGGCTCACACTCGCTTGCCTGTGCATCCGATGCCCTCCTAGTCCACGCCGCCCGGCTGGCGGGCCTGCGAGTCTTACAGAGGCTTCATGGGGCCAGCCGCCCAGAAAAGTCGGACACGGATGTCCGAACCTTTTGGCTGCCCCTGGCGCCGAACGGTGGTGCTGATTGGGAAGCGACTCGCTGCTTTCCGATCAGGCCGCGCGGTAAGAAACGATTCCTGTTTTTGGGCAGGCTGCCTGGCAATACACGACATGGTCGTTCAAATTTCCCGAGCTCTGGGTAACCCGCCCATGGAACACAGACACGTGTGTCCAAACTTCGGGCCGCACCCTGCGCCGAACAGTGGCCTTCAACGGAGTTGACAAACATGCTAACCCTTCCAGGTTTTTGATTGGTGTTGCAGTGCTGTGCATCTTCCACCGTGCTGTACCTGGACCTGTCTCTCAGATGTCATGTTGCGCCATGCTGCGCTCTTTCCGCTGTGCCCCGCCGCGACATAGCCTGCTCTTCCAGATGTTGCGTTGTGTTGTGTGTGCTGCGCTCCTCGTATCTCCTCACCCTCGTACGTGGGTAAGCATGCGTGGACGGTGGCCCACATCTCAGCCCTCCTCACCTACAATGCTGGCATCAGCGCGTGCGAGAAAGGCAAGCAGTGGCAGCATGCCTTGTCGCTGCTCAGCCAGATGTGGGAGGCGAGGGTGGAGGCCAGCGTCGTCAGCTGTGGCGCTGGGGTCAGCGCGTGCGAGAAAGGCGGCCAGTGGCAGCAGGCCTTGTCGCTGCTCAACAACATGTCGGAGGCGAAGCTGACGGCCAACTGCATCTGCTACAACGCCGGCATCAGCGCGTGTGAGAAGGGGAGCCAGTGGCAGCAGGCCCTTTCGCTGCTCAGCAGGATGTGTGAGGCAAAGGTGGAGGCCGACGTCATCTACACTACAGTCAACCCGCATAGTAAGGATGAGCCACTCCCCAAGGCTGCACTGGCATCCTTCCCCTTCGGCCCATTCTTGGCGTCTTTCGCTGGCCGCGCCCCGCTCGCAAAGTGTCGGCATGGGGCATGGCCTTCCAGGGCCCTTGCATCCTTATCTTCCGACGAAGGCCTCTATACACCACCACCGTGCCAGGCCAGGGCCATCCTGGGCCCCAGGATGGTGTAGAGACCCTCTTGGCCCCGGCCAGGAGGGCGTAGACACCATCCTGGGGCCCAGGATGGCCCTGCCTTGGCACGGTGGTGGTGTGCATATGCCTTCTGCGAAATATCTTGCGCCCTTGTTCCCATTGTGGGATCACGCTCTGCGGCGTGACAGCGAGGCACTAGTGACCTGTCAGCTCTCGAGCGTAGTATACGTACTTCTCACGAGCAGGTGCATACATATTTCACGAAGTGGCCCCTATGCTGCCTGATAAAAAAAGGGATAACCTTATTCTGCGGGGTGACTGTGCAAAATTCCAGGCGGGCGCGCGTGCGAGGGCGACGCGCCAGCGGCAGCAGGGCGGCTCCGACGGGGCCTCGGTCGTCGGCCCCCCGGCCTGCCTGGCGCGGCGCCCCCGCGGGGCTTCTCCGGGCGGCGCCCCGCAGACGGCCCCCTGGGCGCCCCCGTCGGGGGGCGGCAAAGGGGGGGCGGAGGGAAGAAGGAGGAGGGAGGAGGGAGGAGGGAGGAGGGAGCAGGGAGGAGGGAGGAGGGAGGAGGGAGGAGGGAGGAGGGAGGAGGGAAGAGGGGGGTGATGACTAGGGGGGGTGGATGTCATGGCGGGGGCCATGGTATCTCCCCAGATTTCCTGGCGCCTCTTCTCCTTTCAGTACGTCCCTGGCCCCCCCGCTGGGCCGCGCACATGCCGCCGGTCATGATGTGCACCCCCCCCTCTTGGACACCCCCCTCTTGGCCGCTCCCGACCAGGGTGGCGCCGAGCTGGCCCCAGGAGTGTCTCCAAGAATACCCAACCATAGCTGCGTCAGGGCCTCCGGGGGCCAGCAATCTCTACTTACCATGCCATCGTTGCTGCTGATGGCGGCACGGTGCCTGTGCCGGTGACGCCCTCGGCCGAAGGCCGAGAAGGTAGCTGGAGGTGTAGAAGTTGCCGGCCAGGCGTCGCCTAAAGCCACACCCGGCCGGAGGCAGAAGAAGAGGCACCTGCCTGGCATGGTACTTACCATGCCAGGTAGGTGTCGGTGGCGAGCAGGCTGCACGACGCCTAGCCGCCCTCGCGCGAAGCGCGAGAAAGCCTCAGACCCCCAACCAACCCCACCCCCACCCAACCCGAGAGCCTCAGACCCCCCCAACAAAAAAAACATCGGGTTGGGGGTGCACAGGCTCCATGGTGTTTTTTCAACGCTCCGGGGTGCCCCCCACTGGCAATTGTCAAGCTGAACGGCGCCTTTGGGTTGAGTGGGGGTGGTTTAGTAGGTAGTCGAAGAAGCCTAGAACCCAGAGCCCTCTATGATTTGTTGTAACTTGTTTTACAATGATCCATTATCAACTTCATGCAGGCTCGAGACGCGACCCAGAGAACTGCAAGAGAGCTCCGCATGCCCACACTAGCCCCGTGAAGCACCCCACACCCGCTCCAAAACGATCTAGCTGGCCCCGCTTGGCCTTCAAGATGGCCCCAAGACAGCTCCAAGACATCATAGAACCAGCCATCAGTCCCACAAGACGGTTCCCCGAGGCTTAAGGACTTCCAATTTGCCCGGAGAAGCCCCAAAAGAGCACCCCAAGGGAGCCCAATATGCCCCCAGCTGACAACACAGAAGCCAACTTGGCCTTCAGATAGTCAGAGAGAGCCTAATCGGGCTCGAGAGGCTCCAACAGGGCCCCGCGACGCCCCAACGTGGTCCTGGACGACACAAGAGGTCCAACATGTGTCTCGATACACACCAGCGGCAGCAGAGCCAGCATCAGCAGCCAGAATCGGCCAGCAGCAGCAGCAGCAGCAGCAGCAGCAAACAGCAGGCATCACGCAGCGGCAAGCTTCATAAGCCGGCAGCAGTATCAGTAGCCAGCAATACCAGCATTAGGCAACCACAGCAAGCAGCACCACTTGTTCGACGGCTTCGGGCAGTTTCACTGTCAGTCTAAGTGGCCGGCATCATGTGGTGCGGAGGGATCTCAGGGCCCCCGCTCACCCTCACCCAGCCAAGCGCGCCCCAATGAAGACCACAATGTGCTTTAAAAGGATGGATCCACTTGGCTGAGCCATCTTAAATGAACAAATCGATTGCAGATGTTCCCCACGAGTACACACTAGTCAGCTACAATGCTGGGTTCAGCGCGTGCGAGAAATGTGGCCAGTGGCAGCAGGCTCTATCGCTGCTCAGCGAGATGCGGGAAGCGAAGCTTGAGGCTGACATCATTAGCTATAGCGCTGTGATCGGCGCGTGTGATAAAGGCGGCTAGTGGCAGCATGCTCTGTCGAGGATCAGCGAGATATGGGAGTTTCATGTGGAACCCATGGTCAGCGGCTACTGTGCTAGTCAAGCGCGTGCGAGATAGGGGACCCGTGGCAGCAGGCTCTGGCGTTGCTCAGCAAGATGCGTGGGCCGAAGGCGAAGTCGGACGCCATCTGTATTACAATTCCAGGCGTAACGCGTCGCGATGTCCAGAAGCAGTGCCGGCTTCGGAGCTCCAGGTACCAGCAAGACGCTCCTAGGACACCCCGAGCGGCCTGCAAGACGCCCCAAAGACAGCTGAAGTGTCCTGCACGAGGGCCTGTCTGAGCTCGAAGGGCTCCCAAGAGGGTCTCCAGACGCCCAGACATGCCCCAACGTTACCACAAAGAGACCCCCATATATGCATTGGGCTCTGTGTACATGTTTTTCATTGCCCAGTTTGCACCACAAGCTGGCTCCACAATTCCGCCCCAGAGGCTTCTCACAGGGCCCGAGAGAGTTCCAAGCGACTCCAAGAGATCCCAAGCCACTCCCAGAACTGCTCAAGACGGCCCTAGGTGTCTCCGCGACGGCTCCAGACGTCTCCCAAAGTACCCCAGGTCGCCCCAGCACGTCCTCAAGAACCCCCACAGATCGCCGACAGACCTGCTCCTCGCTTCTGACTCCTGCCTGCTCGGCCCTGACGCCTTCCTTGTTTTTTCCTCGCTCCATCTGCCTGCCTTGAGTAGTATCCCCAATGCCACCCCAGTCATCTGTAACGCTGGGGTCAGCGCGTGTGAGAAAGGCGAGCAGGGTCGCAATGCTTTGGGGTTGCTCAGGGAGGTGTGAGCGTCGAATTTGGATCCGACGCTATCATCTACGGCGCCGTGGCCAGCGCGAGAGAGAAGGGCGGGCAGCAGCAGACGGTCGTGTGCATGACCAGGGGTATGCGCTGGAGGAAAGCCGTCTTGGACTCTTTCGCCTAGACAGCTGTAGCCGTAATGTGTGTATATATATGTGTGTGTGTTTGGTGAAGAGCGGTCAGTGGAAGTTGGCGTTGTCGTTGCTCAAGGAGGTCCACGACATGATGCCCGCTGGATGACGCAGTCAATTGTAACATTGGTTGTTGCCAGCGCGTGCGAGACATGCGACGCACGGCGGCGGGCTCTGTCTACACCCGTCGCTGGCCAAATACTTGGAGGGTGAGGAGGCGGATGAACATGCAACCCGAGTAGCAGGACCAGGGGGGGAATCAGAGAATGAGGGTGATGATTGGTATGCGGAATTATGCGCAAGACTGAAGCGAAGAGGCGGCGATGGAGGACTACAATGATGATGCTAAGATGCTGATCTTGATGCGGACGATGGTTATGATGATGGCGAGTGTGATTGTGATCACGATTGCGGTTGTGATAGTACTTCGTCGTGATGATGTCGATGCTGACGCTGGTAATGATGGTGACGATGATGACCATGATGATGCGGATGATGTTGCTGCTGATGATGATGATGTCGATGCTGATTATGCTGCTGATGATGATGTTTAGTCTACTGATGACGATGGAGATGATGATGCTGTTCATAATGAGGATGCTGCTGATGATCATGATGGTGGTGATGATCAGGATGCTGATGACACGGATGACGGTGATGGTGATTGTGATTGTGATGATGATGGTGATGAGGATGATGCTGCTGTTGATGATGATGATGCTGTTGCTGATGATGCTGATGCAGATGCAGCTGATGCTGCTGCTGATGATGATCAAATTGCTGATACTGCTGCTACTGTTGATGGTGATGATGATTAGTATGATGATAATGGTGGTGGTGGTGATGACGATAACGATGGGTATTAAGGAGGTGGATACGGACCAGGAGCATACTAATATACATAATGATGGATGTCCAAGACTGAACGTGGATTAGAAGGGCGATGATGATGCGTAGGAAGAGGATGTGGAGGATGAGTAGGATGAGAATCAGCAGGAGGAGTCGTAGCCCCTCGAGTAGCAGTTGTAGCAGTCAGACAAGAGGCCGACAGCAAATGAGGCGGACGAGGTGATCACGAAACGTTCGGCGCTGCAGCTTGAGGTGCGGCTCCGCAATGTGGAGTATATCACGACGTCCCGTATTTTCATTTCCGCACGATTGCCCAATGGTAACGGGTAGCCCAACACACCACCAGGAGTGCTTGGCAACAGTGAAAGCGGAGGGAGCCACGCGCGAGTCAGGGGACACTAGCGTTACATATATGAGCCAATAGTGTGTCCGTTGTCGGCGGCTGGTTGAACGAGGAGTCTTGCGCGCCATCCATAACGTCGAGTCCGAGGGCTTCCAATAGCTTCTTCTGCTGATGGCGCAGCCCACGGACGGCGCGGGCACGAGCGGCTTCGTACTTCGCCGGATCCTCATCCGCCAGCGTCTCCACATGCTCCTTCGCGTGCCCGCCAACGATGCGGTCCTCGAGCGCTTCCGCATCGTGTTCTGGATCCTGGCCCCTTCGCATCGGACGCCCCGACGCCCGGGGAGGTCTTGCGGTGCCGTGGGGTGCGTCGAGCCCGCCGTCCGCAGCCGTCCGATCCGAGCAGCACCTTGCTCCTGCGCGCGC